CGAGCATCCCGAGGGTCTCTCACACTGCCCCGGTCTCCCGAGCCCTGACCAGACGGCACGACGCATCACTGAGAGTGCGGCCCAAAACCCGGGAGCCTGCACGCGGTCTCCAAATCCTGGGCGCACGCATGCGTGTCGGTGGTGCTGGGATCGCCCCGACGGCCCTCGAAACCCGAGTTGGGGCCTCAAAGCAAGATCCTGACTGTTTTTCTTCCTCCTTTTTCTCCTCTTCCCCTCTTTCCTCTTCTTGTTCCTCCGCCTCGTTCCCCCGCCCCCCCTCCCCGATTTGGGGCCCCGAAACAAGATCCTGACTATTATTCGTCGTATTCCTCCTCGCCGTCATCTACCTATTCCTATTCCTCCCCCTCCTCCTCCTCCTCCTCTTCCTCCTCGGCGTCATCATCATCGTCATCATCATCATCATCATCATCATCATCACCATCATCATCATCATCATCATCATCAGCATCATCATCATCATCATCACCACCATCATCATCATCATCATCATCATCATCATCATCATCATCATCACCACCACCACCACCACCATCATCATCATCATCATCATCACTTCATCATCATCATCACTCTCATCATCCTCATCATCATCCTCATCCTCATCCTCATCCTCCTCATCATCATCACCATCATCATAATCATCGTCATCAGCACCAGCACCATCATCATCATCATCATCATCATCATCATCAGCATCATCATCATCATCATCATCATCATCATCATCATCATCAGCATCATCCTCATCATCCCCCTCCGATTCCCCCCCTTTCCACCTCCTCGTCGTGCTCCTGGTGCCCCCCCCCATCCTCCTGCTTCTGCGCCTCCTCTTTCTCGATGGTCTCCTCCTCCTTGTCTTCGGCCCCCCGCGCTCTCTTCTCTTCTGGCCCTATTTCCGCGGGCCGCGGCACGGGCGCCCGAATCGGCATCATTTGCACGACTTGCACTGCAAGGTACCTTGTCAGGCCTCACGGAAAACGCCGAGTTCGGAAATTTTCCCTTGCACATGTCGCTGCACTGATACGCCTGTCAACTGCGCGCCGTGGAACAAAGGTCCTTGCAAACGCGCGCTACTTTCACTCTCCTCTTCAGATGTTCCGCCTCCTGCGTTTTACTGGCGCGGCCCTGCCGCGGATGTTTCAGGCCGCGCGCCGCGCGCGTCAAATCTCGCCCCCGCCGCTGTGCCGCATCGGCCACTACCTTCGCGGTTCTGCCGCGCTTGCCACAACCCCCGCAGGCCGCCGCGGTTCCTTCTCGCCGCCCGATGCCCCTTCACCTCGCCCTTTTTCAAATGACCCGCGCCCCAAGAAATCGCCCCGCAACCAGGCGCGCACCGCGTGGACGGCTCCGCGTCCGCATCAGCTTTCCGTTCGAGATTACCTGCCTCTCGCGTCCACTTGCCCCGCTCCCCCGCGCATCTCCGACGCAGCCTCTCCCCCGTTGCGTTGTGTTTTTTATGCGGTTCCAAAATATCCGCCGTCTCTTCGAAAATCGGCAGGCGCGTCTAGTTCGAACATCTCACCGCGCAAACGCTGTCGCTTCACTTGGCGTTGCCGCGGCGCGACATGTGCTGCACATTGACGCGGCCGCACCTCGCGCAGCACGTGGCCCTAACGGTTTTAGACCCTTCCGCGTCGCCCGTTCCCTTTCCGTCCCGGCAACCATCGTGCCGCGTCGGTTCGTCAACCTCCGTTGTGGTTGCCAAAACTTCGCAGTTGTTGCACCATTTCTCGCCCGCGCTTTCCATCTCTGCCGCGCGTTCTTTGCAAGACGCCAGCCTCTCCTTACTCTGGAACTCGCACCTTCGGGTTGTGAGCGTATCAACAAACAGCCTCCGCCAGCACCGCTCGCGCTGGTCCCGCGGCGTGAGTTATGCCTCACAACCTTCCCAATCGACGTCTTCCTCTCGGAGCACCTGCGACGGCTTCTTCGCGCCTGCCATCTCGCCTTCGTCGCGCGGCTTCCTATCGAAAGGCAGAACCACCAATAGGTTTCTCGCTTTCGCACGCCTGCGATGGCAACGTTACTCGACATCCAACTCGCGCCACGTCCTCTTCCAAAGTCCGCTGTCGTTGCGCCCATGGTCCGCCCCCGCGCAACGTGGGCCGTCATTGCCGACGACGGGGTGATCATGAACTGTGCACGCCTCGCACCAAGCACGGGATGTTTCCGGCATCCGCCCAAGAACCATTGGCGCCATTTCGAGGAAAAAATTGGATACAGACCAGGCCCCAAACCTGGAAGGTGTCAGTCCTTCGCATTAGAATCTAACACCATGACCCTGGGCAGATGCAGCAAGACCTCCTAATCATTTCCCACAACTTCATCCTCGTGCAAAACCATCCATGAATCTTTGCTGTGCGCCCCCAATCCAAGCGATCTCCCAAGGCAAAGGGCGTGCCTTGCGCCAGCGGGAGCCAATTCGGCACGCTTACGCATTCCGTATCGTGGAACCCCAACCGCCGTATTTTGTCCTCCGCCGTGTACGGCCGCCTGTCCCCCCCCCGTGGCAGGGGCGGTCTCTGGCTGCGACCCAAAAATTAAGCCTCTCATATGAGCGCCGTAAAGAAACGGATCTCACGCGAGATGGCATAGTAAAGTTACGCGGTGGCTTCCGCGGACCGCTAGTGCGGCACGCCCCATTGGAAACGAGTGCGCTCATGCGCCACCTTACGCGGGAAACTTACGCAAGAACGTCCACACAGTCTATATCGTTGTCTTCCGGCGCTATGACAGTGTCGTCCGAGTGCAGGGCTTCGAAGAGGCTGTTGGGCACCCTACAGATGCCTAGTGCGCCCAGAGCCATCCCGCCCAAATCTTCTTCGCACTGCAGCGGCGCAATAGATCCATCCCTGGCTTTGTCCTACTAATGCGCCCAGGCCTGAGTTCTCGAATCGATTGCATACGCGCCGGCGAGGGCCTCCTCGAGACCCAGAAACGAAGGACAGCGCAAAAATCCTCCGACCCACTGTCGGCCTCCAGGCGCGTCAATCTCTATGATCCCCCTTGGAGCCCGACATCGAAGCCTCGACCTCCCCTGCACCGAGGCGGGCGCGGCACCACAAACCAGGAGCACAACATGATGCCCCAAGGTGCACCCAGGAGGCCCCGAAGACGCGCCGACCGGCCCCCCCCTTCCCACACACAAAAATACAAGAGGTCGGCGGATGTGGCGTAAGTCTATAGACGCCACGTCCGGAGGTGACGTGCTGAGCGGCAGCGTTTTCTGGCGAACGCCTTAATGCAACGTATCTAATGTATCCGATCATTGCGTAATTGCTACATATTGTAATGTGTTGCATTCTAATGTCTCCACCCGTAATTAACCCACCCAGGGGCCACGCCACATCCACCGACCCAAAGATGGTGGACCCCTTCTGGGCTTCAAAAACCTCCCAAACCTATGATTTGGGCCCCGTGGCCCTCCCGGGGGCCCAAGAGGGCCTCAAAATTGTTCCCGATGGGCTTTAGACGGCCCACGACGGCCCGGAGACGGCCCAAGATGGCCCCAAGAGGGTCCAAAAAGCGTCCAAGACGGCCCAAGAGGGCCCACAGAGGAGCCCCAATAGCGCCTCCGCAAACCCAAATCATTGATTTCCCGAAGGATTTTGAAGGATTTTCGCATTCTCGTTTTTTTCTGCTCCTGGCGACTCAAGCAACCTCCAAAATCGCCCCATGACGGCTCAAGAAACGCCCGAGAGGACCCCAAGACGGCCCCAGAGGGCCCCAAGACGGCCCAAAGAGGCCCCCAAGACGGCCCAAGGGGCCCCCGAGACGGCCCAAGAGGACCCCAAGAGAGCCCCCAGGCGGCCGCGAGAGGCCCCCAATACAGCCTCCGCAAAGGCCAAACGGCGCAACAGCACCCAATACGGCTCAAGACGCCCCCAAGAAGCCCAAAGAGACCCCAAAAAGTCCCCAAGAGACTCCCGAGAACCCCCAAAACGACTTGACTGTACGTACTCCGGACGTGCACCCTGCGAAGCGAGAGGAATCATCAAGCTGGGGGTATCCTGTTGGGACTGGTTCACCTGCATTTCCCAGATCGCACCGCACCGCCGAATGCGTCGGCGATGAATCGGCGGTCGGAAAGCTGGAGTCATTCGACCTCCTGGGTCGCACAGCAGCGCCGCGGCATCGGCATTGAATCACAGATGCGGTGCGGCCCAGGAGCCCCGTCTGCCCCAGCAGGGCGAGGGTGCCCTGGTTTTCGTGCGTTGCTAGAGGGGATTGGCCCTGCCAACAGGTGGCCCCAGCTTTCCGAGGGAGGCACCTGGTTGCAACGAGGCTCAGCACCCCTGACGAAGCACTACTTCCGAGGCCCAGAGGACTCAGTGGGGACACCTTGGGCCAGGACCACCTGTGGCAACACCCGACGATTAAGCGACCAAGCCGAGAGAAATGCCACTCTGCCAGCCCGGCATTACGAGCAGCTCCTTCTCTCGCGGCTGATAATTGGGATACATGCCGATCCCGCTGCTCCCAAGACCTCTCCCAAGGTGCGCTCCGACCAGGATTCCGAGGCGACACCAGCCGCGGCGACGGCGGCCTGCCAGGAAGCCCAGAGGGCGAAAACGAGGGAAGGGTGCCGGTGTCGATGTGCAGTTCCCCTCCGTGTCGGGAGGTGAACTCCCTGCGCCGACGACAGCAGCGAAGCTGGGGAGGGGGGGGGGGGGCGCGACGGCCGACCAGCCCCCTCCGTGCACGAGCGGCCCCTGCGCCCGACGGTGCCACGGTGCGCGGCCCGCCCGGACCTTCTGTTGCATCCTCGGGGGACCTTGTCTGTCCCGTCGCGGTCCTATCCGCGCCGAATCCGTGTCGAATCCGTGTCGGACGCGTCGGATCCGTGCCGAATCCGCGCCGAATCCACGCCGCATCCGCGTCGGGTCCGCGTCGAGCCCGCGTCGGGCGCGAGAGAAGACACCGATTTGGGGGACGGGCGGGGCCCCCCGAGGATGCAGCGTGGCGGGCCCCCGTCGCTCCAGAGGTGCTCTGCCGTATGGCGTGGTGGTCCCAGAAGGCCTTCACCAGGATCTTCTTCGCCTGCGGGGCGGCGCCGCGGCTCCCGCCCAGGGAGGGGCACGAGACCGACGAGGGAGGACGCCAGCTCTACACAGTCATCGGCCTGACCTAAGGAACGCTAAATAAGGAACGAAGCCCCCTTCTTCCGAGGAATAACGCATAGGGAGCGATGAGCAAATAGTACATAACGCACAGGGAACGATACACAACGCATGCAAGCCTGAGGAACGACCGAGCCCCTTTTGAAAAGTAAGCGTTCCTTATTCAAGCCGCTCACCGTACGCCCGAGGCCGATACGACGGGTGTTCGTTAACGGGGGGGGTAGTAAACGTGGGGTGACGCAACGTGCACCTCTCGTGCACCTTCTGGTGGGTCCGCGACGGCAGTTCAGGGGCCGCTCGGGGCCGCTTCAGGGCAGCCTTGCTGCAGTCCTCGATCCCCACACGTGTACTGACCCCCCGTCTGCCGTCCGCCCGAGAGTCTAGCCAGGCCGATCCTGAGATCAGGCTCGACCTGAAGAGGACGGGTGCGGTCGGGTGAGGATGGGGATGCAGGGGCGCAGCCGACGGATGCCGGGGTACCAGGACGGGCTGGTGCGCCAGCGACGCGCCGCGCGCCGCGGAGGGCCCAATTGGGGCCCAAGCAGCTCTCGAGTAGCCCTCCCGACACTCCACTCCGAGACGACGCCCAACAAGGGCCCTCGTCCGTGGCTCGCCTCCTCTGCTCCAGCAGCGCGGCGTGCTGCGCAGCCTCCGGGTGACGACAGTGGGCCGGTGCAGCCCGAGCCGGGAAGGGGGGCGCTTCCCCAGCGAGCAGCGAACGCCGCACGTCTTTTTGAAGGGGCCCCAGGACACACAAATAAATATACACAAATAAAACAGTTCCCCATATTTTTCCATATTTTCTCGGTTTCTGTCTTCCCCCCCACTTCCCATATTTTCCCATATTTTCTGGGGAATCGAGGATTAATTGTGTCTGTGTGTTTTTTCCTCTCCTGACTTTTGTTCGCCCAGGCGCCGCAGCCGTGCCTCGTCCCCCAGTCCGCTGCTGGCCAGGGGCGGCCGCCGTGCCGGACGGTCCGCCACTTGCGGTCTCCAGGCGAGGAGGGAACGGTTGCGGCGTGCGGGCGGAGGGAAGGACGGCCCCACCCTGAGGGCCCCGCCTCGTGCGCAGCCTGTACCTTTTGAGCATCTTCCTCCTCCACCTCGACCTCGTCGTACGCCGCCTCCTCCTCCCTCCCTCCCTCCTTCCTCATCCTCCACCTTCTCCATCTCGCTCCCTCCATCCTCGTCCTCCATCGTGCATATCCTGCCTCCTCCTCCTCCTCCTCCTGAATGGTTCCTTTTCATATTCCCCTCCTACCTCTCCTTCCAAATTCCCCCCCTCCGTCTCCCCATTCAGTCCATCCTTCCTCTCCATCATCCGCTCGTCCACAGCCTCATGCTCATCACTGTCATCGGTATCATGATCACCAGCATCATCAACAGCATCAATATCGCCATCGTCTAATCCCGTAATCATGTAATCATGGCACCGCCATCACCACCACCACCACCACCATCATCACCACCACCACCACCACCACCACCACCACCATCATCATCATCATCATCATCATCATCATCATCAGCATCATCATCATCGTCAACATCAGCAGCATCATCACCATCACCACCACCATCACCACCACCATCATCATCAGCAGCAGCATCATTATTCTACACCAGTCATTACCATGATCAGCATCATCATGTTCATCATCGTCACCATCAGCATCAGCAGCATCAGCACCATCATCATCATCATCATCATCATCATCATCATAACCTTCACCTTCACTTTCACTTTCATCATCATCATCATCATCATCATCATCATCATCATCAACATTATCATCACAATGATAATCATTGTCGTCGTCATCATCATCATCACCAACAATACCGCCAGCACCATCATATCATCGTCATCACCATCATCGTCATCATCATCATCATCATCATCATCATCATAGTCATCATCACCACTACCATCATCATTGTCATCACCAAAATCATTGTGAACATCGCCAGCGTCATCATCACCATCACCACCACCACCATCATCGTCACACTCGTAATCAGCATCATTATTATCATCAGCGACATGATCCTCATCACCACCACCACCGCCACCACCATCGTAACGATCGATAAGCATCTTCTCCATCAACATCATCCAGACCATCAGTATCATCATCATCATCATCATCATCATCATACTCATACTCATACTCATACTCATACTCATACTCATCCTTGCGCTCCCCTCGGCCCCTCCTGGAAGCCCTTGTTGAGGTGTCTAGCAATCAGCCCCAACGCGGTCTCGCGGTAGTCCTGAAGGCGGCCGCGCCCGTCCCCGTTCGCTCCCTCTGGCTGACGAAGAGGACGAAGGAGGGCCAGAAGGCTCGGTTCGCTTCGGGCCCCGCGGGTGCCTTTGTCGATACAGCGTTGCACTCGACGTCGCCTTCGCCACCGGTCGAAACAGAGGACCAATCGGACTTTGAGGCCGCCGGGTCTCTCGGGATCAGCCCGCGCTGCCACTGCGGCCTCTGCGGCGGGCACGGAACCCTGGCGCGCAAGGAGGGAGGATGACTGGGGGTGAGTTTACGGCCCGCCCGATTCGCAGAGGGCGAGTGTCCGCCCTGGACTGTCTTTTATTCGAAGGCCTCCATGTCAAAACAGACACCAGCACTGGTTCCGTGCCACGTCACTATAAGTGCTACAACCACTGCTACAACCACCGCCACAAATATAACCACCAATACCATTTACCACAGCGCGCGGCGCTGTCCTGTCACATGACGCGCAGCGCTGTTACATCGAAGATCGCAGGGCGCCGGAAAGCTACGCAGCGCATGGCGCTGTCTTTTGTCAATGCCCCATCCCCTCCTCAGCTGCCTTTTGGCCGCTACACGCCCAAGCACTTGCCTCTTCCAGCGCACAACGCTGATTTGTTTGTATCGCGCATAGCGCTGATCTGCCACGCGGATGTAGCACGCAACGCTCTTACTTGCACTCAAACTTTCTCCGTTCTGCCTCCTCCGCATTTTCTGCTCACGTCCGTTTGTTCCCTTGTCTGCCCATGGCCACTTTCCTGCCGATGATCGAGTCGCGAGAGTGATCGCGCGAACGGAGAACATTGGAGTGTGGCCCGACGATACTTGGCGAAGCATTCATGTGTATTTCGGGTGTTTCAACATGTTCATCCGAATATTCATCTCATATTGGAAACTGAATGTGGGAACAGCTTTGCTGATACTCCTTCAAAACCCACGCACAATGTTTGAACAACATCGAACTTTTGCGAGACCGTTTCAATAATTGTAAATGTAGCATTTGATCGATGCCGAATTTACTTCGTGCACTGAACATGTGATACGAGTTGTGTTGATGTTTGGTTTGAAATGCAAGGTGCATTTTTTGGTTGTGCGTTTTGGGACTACGGCTGCACGTCCAGAATGAATGAGACAGGGTGAGGGAATGAGACCAACGCTGCCCCTCCACCTGTCACGGTGCGTCCCCTTGCCCCTGGGAGGGGAAGGGGAGGGGGAGGGGGGAAAGCAGAGCGAGGAGGGAGAAAGAGGAAGGCGAGAGGAGGGAGGGAGGAGGAGGGGAAGAGAATGGGAATGGGAATGGTCGACTGATCCGCGAAGCGAAAACTGAAGGGAGGGGGGGGTTAGGAGGAGAGGGAGAGGGAACTACAACGTGGCAGGCGGGCTAGACGGGGGTGACGCCGCTCCGACAGCTCTGTCAACAGCTGGCGGAACTCCACCGTGTCCACGAGGGGCTGGGACTTGTCTGTCCACTCGCCCTTCCCGAGCGCCTCTCGGGCAAGGGGGGTTGTGAGATGTGGGCGTGGGCGTCGAAACCAGGACCATGACAGATCAATCCAGCTCAAGAAGTGCCGCAGAAAGACAAGGTTCAGGGCTCCGGTCAAACATTGTTTTGCGACGTTGCCATCCCGCAACAAGATACTCAAGGGCATGCCCGTCGTCCATTTTCAACCCCTTTTACTACGAGGTCCCCAAACTTCTGCAAGTCCGTGGAATTTGTGGGGGGGAGAAGTTTCGGTGGGGCGCCTGCTGAAGGCCGCTTTCTTATCTGACGCGCCTACTGCGTCGAGTGTTTTGCCAAATTCGCTGATGGAAGTTGCACGCGGCTACGCTGCTCAGTTTTGCTCAAATTTTTTGGTCGCAAGAGGGTTTCAAAACAATCGCTGTGCTGTTTGTTGAAGGAGATAGAGGGCAAGGGACAGGAGAAGGAAGAGGAGGAGGAGGAAGAGGAGGAGGAGGAGAAAACACAGATGAGGAGGAGGAGGAGGAGGAGGAGGAGGAGGAGGAGGAGGGAACGCGAACACTGAGCTTCAACCGGGTCGGCCCCGACCCTTCTTCTTGGGCGGTTCGTGACTGGGCGTCGGCGAGGGCGGTGCCCCAGCGTGCGCACCTCTGGACGAGCCCACCTCAGATGTCCGTTTTGTCTCCCGCGGGGCCGTCCTCTTCAGCGCAGGCTTTCCTGGCGGGGGCGGAGGCGGCTTCCCCAACGGAGGCACCGCGTCGCCATCGTCGCCCCGCTGTCCTCTTTCATGAACCAACCGGCGCAACAGGCGGCTGCCTCTGAAGACGCTACGCATCGACAGTTGCGGGGGTGGCCTGAGCAGCGCGCTGGGGAAATTCACCTCCGCCTTCCTCGGTAATCCCAGCTCTTCGCGCCATACAAGCTCAATGGGAATATAGTAGCGGCGCCACTGCCAATCCTTGTGCGCACGGCTGTCCAAGCGAGTATGCGGAGTTTTTCCCTCGAGGAGGATCCTGCCATTTTCGCGAAGAAAGGATCATAACCTCCTGCCCAATGAGGCCGGCTCACGACGTTATACGGCGCCGGCAAAACATGTAGATGGTGAGCGATGGACTCACACGCATGCCAACTGAAGGACTTCATTGCGTGCATGTCAGAGTACAGCATTTTGTTCGTAAACAAAAAGTCCTCTGGAGGATCCACCGGCAGCTCACCTTCAACGACAATATAATGTTGCTACTAAGCTTCCTTCTCAAGCCATCTTACGCGTTCTAAGGTACTGCCGAAGATCTCCCGATCGGCCTGTGGAGGGCTGTGGAACCGCATGATCAATGGAAGGTTCCACGGATTGAGGGGCTGCAATACGTCGGAGGCCTTGGGCATACTTGCCCGGTGCTCGACGGCGACGACCCCTGGTACTATCCAGGAAAGAGGCCGATCGCGATCAAGAGCTTGTCAGCGGGTGTTCTCTGCAGATGGGCAGATGAGGATGCCGACTCCGAATTCTGCTCTTTGGGGCTGAGACTGTTTCGTTTCCAGCATGTGTGCCTCGTTGACAGGTGGGCAGGAAGACAGGTGGACCTACTATGGGCGAAACCGGGATAAACGATTGGAAGAAACGTTCACATTTTTCCCGATGCTGAACATGCGCTCCCAGAGTTATTCGCCCCCGGCATTGCGCGGGTCAACGCTCCCTGAGTTGCACTTGATCGGGCGAAGCTTGACCGGCAAGTTCTCGCGGCACACCTTCCCCACCTTTTTAGGCGAGCAGCCCAGAAGTTCTCCGAGGATGCGGTACGAACATGGAATATGGCACCTATTCGCGGGCGTGAGAATCTTCCATTCTCCGCCAGTTCCCTCGAAGAGCTCCTTCCCCCAGCGCTCTCGTCGCGACCATCGCCCGCGATGTCCTCGTCGCCGCCCGCAATTTCATCCGCGCCGCAAGGGGCTCGAACCCGCGAGCGCACCTCGCACAGCACCCAGCACGGCGCAGATTTTCTTGCCGCGGGTCGAACGAGATGTCTTTCGCCAGCTCGGCGACTGCACGAATGCATGTGACCGCGCTGTCGAACTTCATTTGCCGCGCCATGTCGGGGTCCCCAACGGTCGCCCTTGTAGGTGGATGCCCGAACAAAGGTGGGGGCATCGTAACCATTGGCCGGCGTCGCCTGCCAGATCTCGCGGAGTTGGCCGACCGCCACGGAAGCCGGCATGTTCTCTACTCGTCCTCCTGCGACTCCGCGGCCGCGACTATCGCCGAGCGCGCCCGAGACGCAGTCTCGCCGCGCGGCGTCCTCCTCCTTGCTCGCGCGACCCCGCCGGCCGAGTCTAGGACTCAACGAAGCAAACCTTTCAAGCGCGCCGGCAAGGTGTAGACCTAGCCCAGTTGATTGGGTTCGCGGAGTCCGCGAGGCAGTTGAACGGACGGCGGCGGCGCCATGGCGGCGGCGGTCCGGAGGCATTGGGGCGTCGCAGACGCGGGCGCCCGAGTCGCTGCGACCCGAAACGGCGGCGGGAGGCGCGGCGCGCGGCGACGAAACGACAGCGGCAACGGCAGCGGCGGATGGCAAGAGAGATTCAACGATCAAATGATGCACGCGCCGAGCAAACGCATCCGTGCAATCCAGTGCAAGCTGGCAATCGCGTCCCCTGGCCTCAACATGCCTATATGATCCATCGCATTTCCTCTATTCCCTGGGCAAGAGTCTCCGAGTCGGTCGCTATGGCCCACGGCTTCTTCATGTATTGACCCCTAGTGTTAACTAGACCGTGCGAGCATCCGTGCAAACACGCAGTGATCATGTTATGGTTGCGAAGAAATGCTCTAGCCGGTGGGCCACGCCAATGCAGGCACGGGGTCGGCCACTCTAGACACGCAGCTGCCTTTCCTCTGGGGAATTTCTTCAGCAAGTCCAAGCAAGGCCCAAAAGCAGTCTTCGGAAAGTCGCCCTGTGACCGCGCAGTCTCTTCGAAGATTTGGCTTCGCCGCTGCGGCGATGCATGACTTCGTTGACGCATTGCCATGGGGGGCCACCCGCAGAGAGCATTGAGCCCCGCAGGACGACAGTCCCCCTGGAATGTTTTTATTGTCTTCGCTACGTACTCGACCCCTGTGGTAGTGGTCATATATTGTTGCTCAGATAGTCTGGCCACTTCGCAGTTTGCTTCATTGATGCTTTACTGCTTTCCTAAAGCTGCAGTCAACTCCGCAACAGAACTCGAGCACTAGTCGCTTCGAGCCGAATTGGCCCTTGCGCGACGCCCGATCCGACGACGCGTCGCGATCAGCAGCCGCTCCAATAGCGCCGTTATTAAAGGCGCCGCGCGTTCGCCGCGCGACGCTGTCACGCGGATCAGTCTGCGCCATCGTCGCCCCGCCGCGCGTGCGTGGCGAGGCGCCAGCAGGCAGATGCCCTGTGTCATTTTGTTTCGGTTTCTTCGCCGCCTTTTTCCCCGCTATTTGGACCCTGGCGCGATCGCCGATCGCGCGCCCACCTTTGGCTCGAGATGCCCGCCGGCTTCAGTGGCCAGGTCTCGTCGCAAGTGAACGGGGAGCTCGCGCATTCCCCATGGCTGGGCGAGCCCCAGAAGCCAGGAGCCACCGCTTGTACCAAGTAGATGATTTTGGCCCATGACGGAGGTTGTTCAAACCTCTTTGCCCCGACGTCTCCTGCTTGATCCTGCGTGGAACAATGAGCCAAATCCATGAAACCTCGCGTGAACTGGTCCGCCGCGGCCGCCGCGTCGATCCGACGGGCCCTCGGTGCATCCGTTAACTGTTGAGATCCTCCGGCCATGCAGACCTTCGCAACTGCTTGATTGCCCCCGAGAACTCAGCTCTCTGGGGCCGTCCAAGCAACGCTTCCCACAACGGCAAGGCAGGCAGTGATCCCTCGAATGGCTTCACCGGGCGAAACAATTTTCGCCGCTAGCGCGCCGTGCGACGTCGCCGTCTGTCTTCGGGAGTCACAACTCAATGGCGCTCGAGTATTCGATCCCCGCTGCGTTTGGGTGTTCGCGCATGCGCTACGAAGGGCCCTGATGTCGCTCGCTAGATCGGCGTCAGCATACTGCTTCAAACATACGTCCGCGCGGGGGTCGCCGACCCAGAACACCGCCCTAAAGTGCGCCGTCGTTCTTATGTAACATATTGGACGGAAGATTTCAACGCCCCGCTGCCCCGCCCACTTCGCCACGCAGGACGCAATGGCACAAGCGGCCTTCAGCAAGTCGCACATTGCCATCCTTGCGCCAAAAAGGATCTCCATTGAGACTATGGCAGCAATGGGCTGTGAGACGCGCGACGGGGCTGGCGACGCAGGGCTCTCCGACCCGCCGTCTTCAATGTCAGGCCCGCCGACGTCGGGGGCAGTATCGGCTGGGCTGGTCGAGGCCTTGGCATTCAAGCAGTATGATATCGCTTCTTCAGCTGGGTACACGCCCTCTCCTCGAGGTCCGCCCTGTCCGTTTGAATCTACTCAGCTCGGGGCCGCGCGGCATTCCAGCCGGGGGATAGGCGGCTGGGCCAGCGCCCGCCAGCTCGGCGTAGAGCGCGACGCAGGATATAATAAGTGCCCCACGTCATATTCCACGACTCGCACTTTCCGCTGCGGACCCAGCACAGCGGGTTCAGGGGGCTCGGTGGCCTCCGACACGCCGACATGGTCAGCCACCTCTTGCGCGGGGCCCGCCGGGGCGAAGCAGCATTCGGGAATGTTCTCAGCGCTGGGGCGACGCGGGGTAGCGCAAGACACCGTCTTGCCCTTTCCCCCCGAATTGCCCACATCGGTCCCGTGGAACAACATCGCGACAACATTTCTTACGCCGCCCCTGCAATCCGAGACCAACGCATGCAGGCGATCCCTGTCAACGTTCCGCGGGCCCCAGAAGTCCTCCAGTTTCTCCCCGCCGTCGCAGTCTGAAGTGACTCTTCTAGTTGCCGTTCTCCTGTCAGGCCCCGAAGGCAACGGCGCTTTGCAGCGCCGAGCGCCGGGGCCATGCCAAGTCTGTGCTCGCTGGCCAGCAGGC